AATTAACAACGTCCCTAATTGGCGTGATCGAATCTTTAAAAGTATGATAACCAGCTTGTACACAGAGATTTAAGACATGACATATACAACGAATATGAAAAAATCTTCCGCCGCAAATTGGAGTGCAAATATCGGTAAGTTCACGTATAGATGCAGTATTTGCAGTAGCATTATCAAACGAAATGGAAAACACTTTTTTACCTATTTGATATTTATCCAAAATATTTGAAATTAAACGAGCAATATTAGAAGCAGCGTGTCGTTCATGAAATGCAACATAAGCAATTAAAAGTTTTTGTAAACTCCAATTTTCATCTATCCAATGACAAGTAATTCCCAAATAGAAGTTATTTTGCCAATGATCAGACCAGATATCAGCACAAATGGATACTCTATGATTTAAAGATTTAAAAGTTTCTTGCAAAATTAATTTTTTTTCCGCCACTATTTTTCGAATATTGCGAGTAAGAGTAGTACGTGGAACCCGGTGGGCAGCAGGATTCAAAGCCATTTGAGCAAAATGTTCATATAAATCACTATCACCAAAATTAAACAGAAGAGATGGAGCAGAAACAAATTCAGCTAAATGGCGTTTATGATTTTCATGTGAGTAGTGAAATAAAGATGGCGTACCTGTACCAGTCGAGGCAATACAGCGCTACTACTCGGGAATTGCGTCTGTGCCGTGTCAATTCCCAATTTTATCGGATGACAACTCTGTAAGTGTCATTTCAACGATCCATACCCGTCGTCTTTTTTGAAATGGTACCTCTTCTTGTCGTTGATCGGGCAATAGTTGCAAACAGCAAAAAAATGATTCTCACCTCTTTTCGGATTGGCCTCCTTCGTGTAATGTTGTTTGAACATGGAAGATCCCGGTCTGCCACGGGCAAAGACAGAGGCCGGGTCTGGGTCCGGGCCGTTCGGCTGCTGCTGCTGCGTCGGTTGCTAAACCTCCGGCGGTGATGCTCCAAATATATCATCGAAATGGTCATGATACGGCTGCTGCTGCTCTTGTTGCTTGGGATGAATTGAGCCAAACATGCACTCGATCGTCGCCTCATCAATGTCACTGGCGACACCGGGAATATCCACATGTATCGATGGACTCGCAAATTCCGGCAATGGAGGTCTCGACGAAAACGTGCCGGTGCCGATATTTCTACGTTTCTGTCCGGAATTCGAACCACGACCACCAGGAGAGCTCGACATTTTTTAATTTAAAGAATAAAAAATAAATTGGGAAAAATTATATAGAATATGATGAAATAAAAAAAAATGGGGAGATGTGGTATTTATTTTTTCTTTATTTTCGGATATTTTTTTTTTATTTTTTTTAGATTTTTTTTTTTGAAAACCGAACACAAAACTAAAAACCGATCACTAAAAACCGAGTGAGAAGAATATAGAGTAAAAGTCTAAAAGAATAGAGATTAGAGAGAAGAGAGAATGAGAATTTGTGATTGTGTGAAAAATGTGGAGGGGGAGGGGGGGTTTTTATAGGGAAAATTTTCCCTTTTTTTTTTTGGAAATTTTT